TTTGGTGAGTATCACGGTGCATGCTTCATGATAATGTATTCTCGTAGCTTCATAAAATGAAGGTTGAAACACTGATGTCACATGGACTATTTTAACAATGTCTTTACTAAGTTTCTGTGCCTCAGAAAAAGGTCAGAAAGCTCTTGGATTTCATCAAAATGTCTTAATTTGTGTTCCGAAGATGAACGAAGGTCTGAGGGACGTGGAACGATATGAGGGTGAGTAATGAATGACCGAATTTTCATTTTTGGGTGAACTAACCCTTAATATTTATTGCTTACGAATGTTGTTACAAGTTGTGGAGGAATTACGGTGAGGAAAACAAAGTCATGTCTATTCTCAAACATAAAGCAAACACAACTATATAAAGGCTATTCACATGAGCACATTTTAACATTAAAAATGATTTATACTTTCATTAATTTTATATGCTTCTCCACACAGGAAGAACAAACATGCCAACTAGTTACTGACCTGATGTAGACTTAGCTGAAGGCTTAGGTTTACGTAAGTAAGGTAACGAGAAAATAAGCAATGGCTCTCAATTACAGTGTGCTGCAGTTCCATTTCTCACCACAGATTTAGATTGGAAGATTGTGGGGCGCTGTAGAGCTGGGCATGGCTCAGGAACTGTTTGCCCCACTTGGTATCATAACACATGTCTGCTGAAGCCATACAATGGATTTTGTTAAATCCTGCCAACTTTACACCTTAAAACAGTCTATAAAATCAGAAAAATATTTGTTGGAGAATGCTGAACACTATTAGGCCTTCAATTTATTGTTGATTCAGTTTATATAGAGGTTTATGTTTTGCATGAATATTTTGGTTGGTTAAACCGCTTGATTCAAAATGATTTCTTTAGCCATCTTCAGAAACTTTTGAAGCATCAATGTTTTGGTGTAACAGACTTTCAGAGGAGGGAGAGAAACCTTCCTGAATTCATTAAAAAAGATGAACAAATTCTTCTGGAACGACATGAGTAAATGATGACATAACTTTCATTTTTGATATCTCTTTAACTTGTAGAGACAACTTTAGGTAAGATATTTCTAAGTTGATTTCAAAGAAGTGTAAATACTGTGGCTCTAGTGCTAACAAATCATTGTCAGAAGTGTCATAAACATTGGCTCAGCCTTGAGAAGCAGCACTTTCAGCCTCCAAAGGTGTTTAGAATTTAAATTCTCTCATGATGCTTGTTCATATTCTCCACAGTTACTGGCTTTCTGAAAACAGTTTTATCACATCTGGATGTTGGCTGGTGCAGGTTAGAATACCAATGCTGTTGTCGTCGATTATAAAAATGTATCATATTCTTTTGTAATGTAAATGACAAGTATATTGATTGTTTTTATTAAAAAGAAATGCTAAAAAGCAGTGGTTCTCAACCACCAAATCTGGCAAAAACTTCAGAGCTCACTTTGTCCAAGACAACATTTGAAGGCCTTCCCGTCTAAGTTGATATGCACCTCTGGTACTTCGGTTGTAATAAAAATAAAACTCAAAAATATGATGTATATCAGTTTAATGTAATTGTGATGATTGATAGTTTTATTTTCTCCACGGAACACAAAATTGAGATTATTTGTAGATAATGAGTCCAATTTAGGCTAATTAATGTACATACACACAAATGTGCATGAACACACACATACACACACACACACACTCTCTCCAAAGGGACGGCTGGGCATTTTAGGTACTCTCAGTAGGACAAAAAAACGATTTCCCAAATAAAATAAAAAAACATGTTTTATCAAAACTATTGTAGACTATTTATTTATTTATTTTAAGATCCTGAAGATGCACATACTCGAAAAATCCTGATGTGCATCACACACTCTCTCCCACACAAATAAACACACACACACACACACTGATTCTCCTGTGAATACGACATTCCAAGCCGGGTCAGACAGTAAGACTCGGTGGTGCCTGTCCTCTCCCCGTGACCCCACGTTTGAGCAGGACCGCTGAATGGCTGCACTGTCCTCCCATTGTTTCATCATGGCATGTTGTCCCATTCCTGCTCCTAAAACATGGACACATCAAACGCTCGGCAGATAGACCACCGGCCATCACTCTCCATCTCCCTTTCTTCCTCTCCCTCTATCCTCTGCCTGGGTCATTCCCAACATACCTGTATTTCAGCGGTCTCTCTTGTGGAGCTGCATCACAGGGCTCATTACCGAGACATTAAAACCCCACAAAGACTCGTGCTGAACTCCTGCCATCCAACATCAGAGACAAAAACATTCTGCTATTTAAAACAAAAAGGATATGTGCATAACACATTTCTGAGGGGGCAGCTACGTATTTTGAAGACATGTATTGACTAACTGTTAAAGTATTATTGCTGTCTAACACAAAAGGTAACCCTTATCTGTTTTATTCTCCATTCCTGATTTAGGCGTTTAACCAAGAATCATCCTAAATTTCACTTTTTAATACTGAAATTAAATTGAAATTCTAACCCAACAGTAGGGTATTTGACCCAATTTTGGGTTGAAACAACCACCATTTTTGCCACAAATATAATCAATAATAATAATAGCAATAATAAAAATATAATAAAATTTGCAAGTTAGCGATATTTTTGCATGAATCAAGAATTACTTGCATTACAAAAAAGCTATAATGTAACTCCATTACATTCATTCATGAATACACTTTTTCTGGAAATAGTGGCATTTGAGAGATTACTTAATATTTATTATATAATCTACCCTTTTTATACTTATTTAATGAATTTATATAGATTTAATGAATAATAAGAAATTATTAATTTTATTCAGCAAGGACACATTCCATTTTTCAAAAGTGAAATTAAAGACATTTACAATTTTACAAAAGATTCCTACTTTCTATTTTGAAGGATCATGTGACAATAAAGACTGGAGTAATGGCTTCTGAAAATTCAGCTTTGCCATCACATGAATACATTTTATATATTAAATTTGTATATTGTAACAATCTTTCACAATATTACTATTTTATTACTATTTTTGTATTTTTGATTAAATAACTTGAGTGCCCTAGTGAGCATAAGAGATTTCTCTCAAAAACATTTAAATTGCACCGACTGGTAGCATAGTGTATTCCATACATGCATATACTATCACAAGTTATTCTCATAGTTTTAATAAACCTCATCTATGTTAGTCAGCTGTAACTAACCTCACTACATATACGTGACATAATTAAATAAAAAAATGTTAAATGTATTATTTTGAAGATATCAGCAACAATATTCAAATAAAATCTAAATGTTTGCCAGAAATAAACACATATTCATGATTGATGAACAAGGTTCATAAGAAAGTGCTGTACTGGCCTGGATAGGTCAAGTGACATTTCCGTCAACTGGCCTCAGGCCACTAGGCCATCCTTATTGTTGAGCCCTGTTATTTATAGCCCAACTAACAATACAAAGCTGTTGATCACTTCCCTCCTCATCTCTTTTGACAATAACATAAAAACCATTAAATTTCTTCTCTCTAGAACTTTCTGTAACATACACGCTATAGATCTTCCAAGAACCATCAAAGCATTCAACAGCCAAAGTTCATACTGCAAAAATGACAGAACCAAAATATTCGCGTTTTTCACACGCCCTCAGTGGCAGGACAGGTATGTGCATCCAGCAGTAACCCGCCAGAACACACATGCGCTTTCTGCACTCAAAGGGTTCTCATACCCTGGATCTGCCCTCCACAGCAGGTGAGTTGTCATCTTCACCGTAGACCAACAACCCCAGCGGAGACCTCAAAGCCTGGAATAATAGGTGGCTGGGGTGGGATGTGTAGCATTGGAAGTAGATTCTGAAATAATGTGCCTTGGTTTTAATGCCAAATGTGTTTTAAACAGAGTAGGCTTCTCAAACCATAAGAGAGATTCATATTTTGAAAATAAAATGATGATATGTGTTCTCTAAATACAGCTAAGCCATTTGGGTGGTACAAATGGATCAGCATAATTAGAGTGACTGAGTGTTTTCTGGGAATGCAAACAAAAGCAAAATCACATGCCCACAAAGAGACCCATTTCTCTTTATAAAATCTCCAAATCTCCTACTTTACTGCCTGATGTAAACATAATGAAATTAAAAATAAGCTTTGCTCTAAATAGAAAAGCGCTGCAATGTCCCCATTTATACTAGAGCAAAGCGATGCTTTTGTTGTACAGATAAACCAGAGCACCAGGGTACGTTTCACACACAAATATGATGAGCAAGTCTTACAGACAAGATTTACAATAACAAATTTTCATGTACGTCAGATATATTGTTGTATATGAACCATAGCTGACATGAGACTTTCATATCTGCATGAAAATCAAGGCAACACGCCCAAAAAGAGCGACAAGTGCGGCGCGCAACAAAGAAAGATAGAACAACAGGTGGCTGCAGACGGTAACAGCACAACAGAGGTCTCTCGTCCACAAAGGTGTAAAACGGAATTGTGGGGGTTGCACACCAAGTTAAAACCCCAAATTACGGCGAAGAAGCAGGCTGGGTGTGTTTAAGTGTGCATTGGTTTATATATATATATATATACATATATATATATATAATTTCAACAATCACAAAAGTTTACAAATTAGTCAGAAATCGTCTTTGCTTGAGAAGGTAGCCATAGCAACAGCTGTCAATTTCAGACGGTGGCGACAAAAACATAATTACTGTAATTATTTATCACGTAATTATGTATGTGCACAACAGAAATGTATTAAAAAGTCTTCAAGTTTACGCTTTGTTTGCGCAAGATGGACCTCAAACGACTGCGCCCAGAAAACGACAGACAGATTGCGTTAAAAAGTTCAGCTGCCTGAAAGTCACTAAATAATTCGCATACTGGTGCAAACCACTTGTAAACAGCGCTAAAGTAAAGACAACACTGCAGTAAATAACCACCAAGGATTGTCCGTGTAAAGCTCTGGAGAGAAGACACCCGTGAAAAAAGTGACAGCAGGCTGAAAATAGCGCGTAATCAGCGGCTTACCTGCGGCTGCAGCGCGAGCGAGAGCAGGAGAATGACGGTCCAGTGCTGTCCGCGCTCTTCATCCCTTATCATCGCCCTAGCAGCACTCCTTCTGTCCGTACTCGAGCTCTCCAAGGAGTGCCAACTCTTTCGGTCTCTATCCATTCTCATAGCAGACATTTGCGCACTTGGTCTGTGCGTACGGAACAGCCTTCCCCTGTTTGGTGACGCTTTCTTTACACTGTCCATGTGTCCATCGTGAAGACACAGCGCGAATACGAGCAAAGTAAATGTGGCACAGGTAAATGATAAGACCACTGATGTCTTTCCACACTCCGCGCGGAGTCCAGGGTGCTTCCTCCTCCTCCTCCTCCTCCTCCTTCCACCTGCTACAGTTAAGAAGCTTTGAATGTTCGACCTGCTGACCTAGTGACTTGAGCTTTCATCCCATTTACTTTCCCACTCATTAAAGCAGCTCTTTTCCCTCACGTCAACCGGATAGGCTTTCCCGATGCCCTCCCAAAGCAAAGAGCGAGCGATGAGAGCGAGACTGTGCATCACCGTGGGAAGCACTAGCGGTAAAGTTGCCAGTAGAGGGTGTGTCCTCCGCATGGGAATATCGGTCACCTGTATCTAACTTGAATATAATATCGACATATTTCTTACAAACGGATGTAGGCTAGTTTATAAATATAACATTCTCTGCATTCTGTTGTTTATGTGATAAAGTATTGTAACCTTGAGTGAACCTGCTATAACGTAAGACAAATTTCAGACTCAGTCTGACAATAAAGTGTATCGTATCATATCGTATCGTAAAAAAAACCGTTATACTGTATTTCACAACTTTATATTTTTCACTTACACCTTTACTGCCACCTTAGGAGGGTGATGGTCATGTATAATGCTGATTATACAACACTTCATGGTCTTTTTGCATAGATATGATGCCGGATAAAAAAAAAAAATTGGTTAGGCTCAACAGCCCAACATCCCTTCTATTTTGTAACAATTACTACAGATTATAAATGACAGAAAAGGGCCCATTCTCTGCCATATGTCCTGTTTATGAAGTCACAGTATCATTTATAACAAATAAATTGTGAAACTATGCTATCCCATAATGCACTGGTCTGGAAATTCTCAGTAGGGTTTCTTTTCATGTGTACTCCTTCTGGAATAATAGGTCTCAAGCTTCACTTAATCTCTGAGCATGATCAAAGTGCTGCGGCACCAATTAAAAGAGCATTTCAGAGGGCAGACAATAGACAGACAGACAGAGGCTGTTGCATTCAATACTCACGCACATTTACATTACCGCCGGCTTGTTATCACATCATAGGCTAAAAGTGGAAGCGCCATGCTTTCTCTGACTTAATCATTAGGTCGTTGGGTGAGGACAAAGCAATAAACCCACAAGGTTTGGATGCCAAATAGTGTTTGTGGGGCCCTGTTGCACCCAAAATGACTACGGATGTTTGAACGTTTCACAAAGACTGAATATTTGTGTGTTTACAGTAAAGATTTGTTATCGAGGACCACACACATTGCCTATAGGCTATATACTGTCTGTAATTCTACATTGCTGAAGAAATCAATGAAAAATGCAAAAAAATAACGTTTATAAGTAACAACTAGTGATTATTCTGTGTTGTTTACTGGTTTTAGATGGGTTTTGACCAATTTTCAGCTGGACAGGCAGAGAGATCTTTTTAAACCAGCTTGGCTAGACTGGAAGACCAGCTCAGCCTATAACCTAGACTTTTGACTTAGGCTAATTGCGGAAATTCAAAGCATATCGGCGTCATATTGCTGCTTTCCAGATCTCCATATCGGGGAATGAGTGAACTTTCCACTGTGCAGGCATGGAGGCAGTTACTACAACACAAAGCATCCGCTTTATGCTGTAAATATAATGAACCGATTTTATTGACTCGATCCTGTTTCCTCCCCCCATTCGCGACGGACTTGTTGCTGACGCGCACATCCCTAGAAACCGGTTATTTTCCAAAAGTAGAGTGACCCGTGGTCAGAACAGAGGGCTCTTCAAGTCCGTCTGTGATTTGCATAGAGTGGCGCTGACCTCGACACAACTGAATTTTAATGAATTGTAATCGCTCTTTATTCCTACTGACTCTAAAGCCGCGCTGAGAGCTTATGTTCAGAGATAATTACATCATTTATGGATCCGTTAGACTTTTCAGCTGTTGGCGGGAATTACCTACGGCTGTGTTCTGACGATTTTCTTTCTTTCAGTTGGCTACTTCATTACATTACCATTTAATCATTAAATTAGCCTACTGTACAAATAAACTAACAGCAGTGACAGATGATTTATGTAGGGTTCCTAAACCAGTAAAACATACTACTAATATTTTTCCAGATTGCTACGTGATGAGTCCCTGCTTAAAAAAACAATAGAAACCATCACAGAAATTGTTAATGGTTTCCACTACATACCATTAAAAACTAGGGCTGGATAATATAGCTAAAAATTTGATCAACGATATATGTTTCATATCGTTCTATATCGATAATTGTTGACATTTTTTATAACCCTTTTTAAAACAGAGCAATAGGGAAAAATTTTTTAATTTAACCACTGTATTTTTAATTTGCCGAATTTATTAAGACAAACAACAAATATATATATATAATTATTATTATTATTATTATTATTTAT